CAAAGTGAGTGAGTGAAAGAAAATTAAAATGGTTAAAGCTGATTATTGTAAGAATTAACCTTTAAAACATTTTGTTTATTTAGGACAACAATGATAATTATGGTAATGATGATAATGATAATTTTTCTCACTTAAAAAAAATTTCTCTTTAAAGAAATCAAAAATATGGAAAATGAAAAAAAACAAGTTTCTAAATTAAAACGGGTCGTTGACAACGACAAAATTGGCGAATGTAATGATAATTGTGGTAATAACAACGATAATGATGTTGATATTGATGTCGATATAGAAAAAAAAGCAAGTTGTGAGATTATTGAAGAAAATTCTCCAATCCCAATGGTTGTGGCGGTAAATATTAATCGAACAACTAGTGCTGCTATTAATTGAATTACTTGATAAACCCTTTTTTTTTGTTTTCATTAAAGGCTGTCAGCATAGAAGATAATCCGAAATTACCATGTTTAACATTTCGTTTTTGGATATTAAGTACCGTAAGTACATAATTAATTATATATATTGTTTCTGTGAAATAAGTATCTCACTAATGGTAATTTTCTTGAAAAAAGTTTTTTACAATACTTGGTGCGACACTTTCAGAGTTCTATTATTTTCGTCCTAATGGCAGTGGATTCTCGATGTTTTTCGTGTTGTTAATGTCATATGTGATTGGAAAATGGATGGAAAAATTTTTACCAAAACGTAAATTTAAATTTAAGGATCGTTTTGAATTTACATTGAATCCAGGTAAACTAACTTACACGTTCTTTATCTACCTATATCTCTCAGATATATATAAACATTAAATTTATGTTTTATCATTCTTTGGCATCGATTGACTTTTATTCTTCATTTGCATGAATGGTTGATTATAGGACCATTCAACATCAAAGAACATGTTTGTATAGCTGTAGCAACAGGCGCAGGTGGTGGATCTGCATACGCTACGGTAATTATTTATTTATTTCTATCAAGTTTTTTATCATTTATTAATCAACTTTTTATTATTGTCGTTATTGCTGCCATTGGTATTATTGATATTATTTAGTG